CTGACCACAGTTTTTCCTTCCCTTTGCCTCTCTATTAATGTGTTTGGACACAGAGCTCTGAGAACAGCCAGCCTCTTCTGCAATAACCTTTTGTGTCTTTCCCTCCTTGTGCAATGTGTCGATGGTCGCCTTTTGGACAGCTGTCAAATCTGAAGTCTTCCCCATGTTTGTGTAGGCTTCAGAACTGGACTGAGAGACCATTTAAAGCCCTTTGCAGGTGTTTTGAGTTAATCAGCTGATTATTTTGTGGCACCAGGTGTCTTCAAAATGTAACCCTTACACAATATTCTAATTTTGTGACACACGGAATTTTGGATTTTCATTTGTTGCCACTTCAAATCATCAAAATTAAATGAAATAAACATTTGAATGCATCAGTCTGTGTGCAATGAATAAATATAATGTACAAGTTACACCTTTTGAATGCAATTACTGAAATAAATCAAGTTTTTCAAAATATTCTAATTTACTGACTTTTACCTGTATACACTACCGTTCAAAAGTTTGGGGTCACTTAGAAATGTCCTTGTTTTCCATGAAAACATACATGAAATTAGTTTGAATAGGAAATGTAGCAAAATTAATAGGAAATGTAGTCATTGACAAGGTTAGAAATAATTATTTTTAATAGAAATAGTAATTGAGTCCTTCAAACTTTGCTTTTGTCAAAGAATCCTCCATTTGCAGCAATTACAGCCTTGCAGACCTTTGGCATTCTAGTTGTCAATTTGTTGAGGTAATCTGAAGAGATTTCACCCCATGCTTCCTGAAGCACCTCCCACAAGTTGGATTGGCTTGATGGGCACTTCTTACGTACCATACGGTCAAGCTGCTCCAACAACAGCTCAATAGGGTTGAGATCCGGTGACTGTGCTGGCCACTCCATTATAGACAGAATACCAGGTGACTGCTTCTTCCCTAAATAGTTATTGCATAGTTTGGAGCTGTGCTTTGGGTCATTGTCCTGTTGTAGGAGGAAATTGGATCCAATCAAGCGCCGTTCATAGGGTATGGCATGGCGTTGCTAAATGGAGTGATAGCCTTCCTTCTTCAAGATCCCTTTTACCCTGTACAAGTCTCCCACTTTACCACCACCAAAGCACCCCCAGACCATCGCATTGCCTCCACCATGCTTGACAGATGGCATCAAGCACTCATCCAGCATCTTTTCATTTGGTCTGCGTCTCACAAATGTTCTTCTTTGTGATCCGAACACCTCAAACTTTGATTTGTCTGTCCATAACACTTTTTTCCAATCTTCCTCTGTTCAGTGTCTGTGTTCTTTTGCCCATCTTTTCTTTTTATTGGCCAGTCTGAGATATGTATTTTTCTTTGCAACTCTGCCTAGAAGGTCAGCATCCCGGAGTCGCCTCTTCACTGTTGACGTTGAGACTGGTGTTTTGCGGGTACTATTTAATGAAGCTGCCAGTTGAGGACCTGTGAGGCGTCTTTTTCTCAAACTAGACACTCTTGTGTATTTTTCCTCTTGCTTAGTTGTGCACCGGTGCCTCCTACTCCTCTTTTTATTCTGGTTAGAGCCAGTTTGCGCAGTTCTGTGAAGGAAGTAGTACACAGCGTTGTACGAGATCTTCAGTTTCTTGGCAATTTCTCGCATGGAATAGCCTTAATTTCTCAGAACAAGAATAGACTGACGATTTTCAGAAGAAAGTTATTTGTTTCTGGCCATTTTGAGTCTGTAATCGAACCCACAATTGCTGATGCTCCAGATACTCAACTAGTCTCAAGAAGGCCAGTTTTATTGCTTCTTTAATCAGCACAACAGTTTTCAGATGTGCTAACATAATTGAAAAAGGGTTTTCTAATGATCAATTAGCCTTTTAAAATGTTCAACTTGGATTAGCAAACACAACGTGCCATTGGAACACAGGACTGATGGTTGCTGATAATTGGCCTCTGTATGCCTATGTAGATATTCCATTAAAAATCTGCTGTTTCCAGCTACAATAGCCATTTACAACATTAACAATGTCTACACTGTATTTCTGATCAATTTGATGTTATTTTAATGGACAAAGAATTTGTTTTTCTCTTTCGAAAACAAAGACATTTCTAAGTGACCCCAAACTTTAGAACGGTAGTGTGTGTGTATTATATATATATATATATATATATATCTATATATATATATATATATATCTATATATATATATATATATATATCTATATATATATATATATATATATATATATACTGCTCAAAAAAATAAAGGGAACACTAAAATAACACATCCTAGATCTGAATGAATGAAATAATCTTATTAAAAACTTTTTTTCTTTACATAGTTGAATGTGCTGATAACAATCACACAAAAATTATCAATGGAAATCAAATTTATCAACCCATGGAGGTCAGGATTTGGAGTCACCCTCAAAATTAAAGTGGAAAACCAAACTACAGGCTGATCCAACTTTGATGTAATGTCCTTAAAACAAGTCAAAATGAGGCTCAGTAGTGTGTGTGGCCTCCACGTGCCTGTATGACCTCCCTACAACACCTGGGCATGCTCCTGATGAGGTGGTGGATGGTCTCCTGAGGGATCTCCTCCCAGACCTGGACTAAAGCATCCGCCAACTCCTGGACAGTCCTGGACAGTCTGGTGCAATGTGGCATTGGTGGATGGAGCGAGACATAATGTCCCAGATGTGCTCAATTGGTTTCAGGTCTGGAGAACGGGCGGGCCAGTCCATAGCATCAATGCCTTCCTCTTGCAGGAACTGTTGACACACACCAGCCACATGAGGTCTAGCATTGTCTTGCATTAGGAGGAACCCAGGGCCAACCGCACCAGCATATGGTCTCACAAGGGGTCTGAGGATCTCATCTCGGTACCTAATGGCAGTCAGGCTACCTCTGGCGAGCACATGGAGGGCTGTGCGGCCCCCCAAAGAAATGCCACCCCACACCATGACTGACCCACCGCCAAACCGGTCATGCTGGAGGATGTTGCAGGCAGCAGAACGTTCTCCACGGCGTCTCCAGACTCTGTCACATGTACTCAGTGTGAACCTACTTTCATCTGTGAAGAGCACAGGGTGCCAGTGGCAAATTTGCCAATCTTGGTGTTCTCTGGCAAATGCCAAACGTCCTGCACGGTGTTGGGCTGTAAGCACAACCCCCACCTGTGGACGTCGGGCCCTCATACCACCCTCATGGAGTCTGTTTCTGACCGTTTGAGCAGACACATGCACATTTGTGGCCTGCTGGAGGTCATTTTGCAGTGCTCCTCCTGCTCCTCCTTGCACAAAGGTGGAGGTAGCAGTCCTGCTGCTGGGTTGTTGCCCTCCTACGGCCTCCTCCACTTCTCCTGATGTACTGGCCTGTCTCCTGGTAGCGCCTCCATGCTCTGGACACTACGCTGACAGACACAGCAAACCTTCTTGCCACAGCTCGCATTGATGTGCCATCCTGGATGAGCTGCACTACCTGAGCCACTTGTGTGGGTTGTAGACTCCGTCTCATGCTACCACTAGAGTGAAAGCACTGCCAGCATTCAAAAGTGACCAAAACATCAGCCAGGAAACATAGGAACTGTGGTCACCACCTGCACAACCAGTCCTTTATTGGGGGTGTCTTGCTAATTGCCTATAATTTCCACCTGTTGTCTATTCCATTTGCACAACAGCATGTGACATTTATTGTCAATCAGTGTTGCTTCCTAGGTGGACAGTTTGATTTCACAGAAGTGTGATTGACTTGGAGTTACATTGTGTTGTTTAAGTGTTCCCTTTATTTTTTTTAACAGTATATATATATATATATATATATATATATCTATCTAGAGAGAGAGAGAGATTTTGTCCCACTCCTCTTTGCAGATCTTCTCCAAGTCATTAAGGTTTTGAGGCTGACGTTTGGCAACTCGAACCTTCAGCTCCCTCCACAGATTTTCTATGGGATTAAGGTCTGGAGAATGGCTAGGCCACTCCAGGACCTTAATGTGCTTCTTCTTGAGCCACTCCTTTGTTGCCTTGGCCATGTGTTTTGGGTCATTGTCATGCTGGAATACCCATCCACGACCCATTTTCAATGCCCTTGCTGAGGGAAGGAGGTTCTCACCCAAGATTTGACGGTACATGGCCCCGTCCATCGTCCCTTTGATGCGGTAAAGTTGTCCTGTCCCCTTAGCAGAAAAACACCTCCAAAGCATAATGTTTCCACCTCCATGTTTGACGGTTGGGATGGAGTTATTGGGGTCATAGGCAGCATTCCTCCCCCTCCAAAACACGGCGAGTTGAGTTGATGCCAAAGAGCTCCATTTTGGTCTCATCTGACCACAACACTTTCACCCAGTTCTCCTCTGAATCATTCAGATGTTCATTGGCAAACTTCAGATGGGCCTGTATATGTGCTTTCTTGAGCAGGGGGACCTTGCGGGCGCTGCAGGATTTCAGTCCTTCATGGCGTAGTGTTACCAATTGTTTTCTTGGTGACTATGGTCCCAGCTGCCTTGAGATCATTGACAAGATCCTCCCATGTAGTTCTGATTCCTCACCGTTCTCATGATCATTGCAACTCCACGAGGTGAGGACTTGCATGGAGCCCCAGGCCGAGGCAGATTGACAGTTCTTTTGTGTTTCTTCCATTTGCGAATAATCGCACCAACTGTTGTCACCTTCTCACCAAGCTGCTTGGCGATGGTCTTGTAGCCCATTCCAGCCTTGTGTAGGTCTACAATCTTGTCCCTGACATCCTTGGAGAGCTCTTTGGTCATGGCCATGGTCGAGAGTTTGGAATCTGATTGATTGATTGCTTCTGTGGACAGGTGTCTTTTCTACAGGTAACAAACTGAGATTAGGAGCACTCCCTTTAAGAGTGTGCTCCTAATCTCAGCTCGTTACCTGTATAAAAGACACCTGGGAGCCAAAAATCTTTCTGATTGAGAGGGGGTCAAATACTTATTTCCCTCATTAAAATGCAAATCAATTCATAAAATTTTTGACATGTGTTTTTCTGGATTATTTTGTTGTTATTCTGTCTCTCACTGTTGAAATAAACCTACTGGTTGTATTCTGTTACTCTATCCTTGTAGCTCCTGGAGCCAGTGTGTCATCAGCTGTTTGAGATGTACCGGAGCTCTGAGGACCGCCTGAGACGCTTCACACTGCAGTTCCTTCCAGAGCTGGTCTGGGTGTACCTCCGTCTCACCGCTAGCAGGGACCGCCAGAGCAACGGCTGCATAGAGGCCTTGCTGCTGGGCATATATAACCTGGTAACTACTACTACCTACCAACCTAACCTGCTTGACTTACCTGGACATCTATCATGGGGGGCTACTAATAGAATAAGGGGTGGGAAAGACTGAGGGGTTAGGAGATAGGGCTTTAGTTTCTATGGCATATTATTATTATTATAGGGCTTTAGTTTCTATGGAAGTCTGGATGTTAGGGGTGGAGATGGGGCTTTAGTCTCTATGGAAGAGGCTGGATGTTAGGGGTTAGGGGATAGGGCTTTAGTCTCTATGGAAGAGGCTGGATGTTAGGGGTTAGGGGATAGGGCTTTAGTCTCTATGGAAGAGGCTGGATGTTAGGGGGTTAGGGGATAGGGCTTTAGTCTCTATGGAAGAGGCTGGGATGTTAGGGGTGGAGATAGTGGCTTTAGTCTCTATGGAAGAGGCTGATGTTAGGGGTTAGGGGATAGGGCTTTAGTCTCTATGGAAGGGGCTGGATGTTAGGGGTTAGGAGATAGGGCTTTAGTCTCTATGGAAGGGGCTGGATGTTAGGGGTTAGGAGATAGGGCTTTAGTCTCTATGGAAGAGGCTGGATGTTAGGGGTGGAGATAGGGCTTTAGTCTCTATGGAAGAGGCAGGATGTTAGGGGTTAGGAGATAGGGCTTAGGTCTCTATGGAAGAGGGCACGGATGTTAGGGGTTCAGGAGAATTAGGAGGGGCTTAGGTCTCTATGGAAGAGGCTGGATGTTTAGGGGTTAAGGGGATAGTGCTTTGGTCTCTATGGAAGGGGCTGGATGTTAGGGGTGCAGCCAGTGCTGATAGTCAGATGAAGGTCCGCTGTCAGTACTGGAAGGGGCTGGATGTTAGGGGTGCAGCCAGTGCTGATAGTCAGATGAAGGTCCGCTGTCAGTACTGGAAGAGGCAGGATGTTAGGGGATAGGGATGTTATGGGTTAGGGGATAGGGATGTTAGGGGTTAGGAGATGGGCTTTAGTCTCTATGGACGAGGCCTGGATTAGGGGATGGCTGTTAGGGGTTAGGTGATAGGGATGTAGGGGTTAGGAGATAGGGCTTTAGTCTCTATGGAAGAGGCTGGATGTTAGGGGTTAGGGGATAGGGATGTTAGGGGTTAGGGGATAGGGATGTTAGGGGTTAGGAGATAGGGCTTTAGTCTCTATGGAAGAGGCTGGATGTTAGGGGTTAGGGGATAGGGATGTTAGGGGATAGGGATGTTAGGGGTTAGGGGATAGGGATGTTAGGGGTTAGGAGATAGGGCTTTAGTCTCTATGGAAGAGGCTGGATGTTAGGGGATAAGGGATGTTAGGGGTTAGGGGATAGGGATGTTAGGGGTTAGGAGATCGGGCTTTAGTCTCTATGGAAGAGGCTGGATGTTAGGGGTTAGGAGATAGGGCTTTAGTCTCTATGGAAGAGGCTGGATGTTAGGGGTTAGGAGATAGGGCTTTAGTCTCTATGGAAGAGGCTGGATGTTAGGGGTTAGGAGATAGGGCTTTAGTCTCTATGGAAGAGGCTGGATGTTAGGGGTTAGGGGATAGGGCTTTAGTCTCTATGGAAGAGGCTGGATGTTAGGGGTTAGGGGATAGGGCTTTAGTCTCTATGGAAGGGGCTGGATGTTAGGGGTGCAGCCAGTGCTGATAGTCAGATGAAAGTCCGCTGTCAGTACTGGAAGAGGCAGGATGTTAGGGGTGCAGCCAGTGCTGATAGTCAGATGAAGGTCCGCTGTCAGTACTGGAGAGGCAGGATGTTAGGGGTGCAGCCAGTGCTGATATCAGATTAAGGATCCGCTTTCCAGTAACTTGGAAGAGGGCAGGATGTTAGGGGTCAAGCCATGCTGATAGTCAGATGAAAGGTCCTCATTATCAGTATGGAAGAGGCAGGATTGTTGGGGTGCCGCCCCAGTGCTGATAGTCAAATGAGGTCCTCTGTCAGTCTGTAAGGGTCTGGATGTGATGGGGTTCAAGCCATTGGCTGATATCAGATGAGGTCCGCCCTGTCAGTACTTGAAAGATGCAGGATGTTCGGGTGCAGCTCATTTGGCTGAAGTCAATTAGTCGCTGTGCAGTATGGAAGAGGCAGGATGTTTAGGGGTGGCAAGCCAGTGCTGATAGTCCAGATGAAGGTCCCCCCCCCCGCTGTCAGTAAACTGGGAATAGGCATGATGTTAGGGGTTCGCCAGTGCTGATAGTCGAGATGAAGGTTTCCCGTTTGTCAGTACTGGAAGGGGCTGGATGTTAGGGGTGCAGCCAGTGCTGATAGTCAGATGAAGGTCCGCTGTCAGTACTGGAAGGGGCGGATGTTTAGGGGTTCAGCCAGGTGCTGATCGTCGATGAAGGTCCGCTGGTCAGGACTGGAAGGGCTGGATGTTAGAGGGGGAGGGAAGAGATTTGGTCCTCCTTGTCTTATATGCTTCAGCTTAAGGTCCGCTGTCGAGTAACATGGAAGAGGGCAGATAGTTAGGGTGCAGCCAGTGCTGATATTCAGATGAAGGTCCGCTGTCAGTACTGGAAGAGGCAGGATGTTAGGGGTGCAGCCAGTGCTGATAGTCAGATGAAGGTCCGTTGTCAGTACTGGAAGGGGCCTGGGGATGTTTATGGGGTGCAGCCATGCTGATGTCAGATGGAAGGTCCGCTGTCAGTACTGGTGAAGGGGCTGGATGTTGATAGGTGGTAGGGGATAGGGTTTTAGTCCTCTATGGAAGAGGCTGGATGTTTTAGGGGGGTTAGGGTAGGGCTTAGTCTCTATGGAAGAGGCTGGATGTTAGGGGTTAGGAATAGGGCTTAGTCTCTATGGAAGAGTCTGGATGTTAGGTGGGAGATAGGGCTTTATCCTCTTATGGAAGATGCTGGATGTTAGGGGTTAGGAGATAGGGCTTTTAGTCTCTATGGAAGAGGCTGGATGTTTAGGGGTTAGGGGGATAGGAGGGCCTTTACGTCTCATGGAATAGGCTGGATGTTAGGGTTAGAGAATAGAGGCTTTAGTCCTTATGGAAGAGGCTGGAATTTAGGGGTTAGGAGATAGGGCTTTTAGTCTCCGAATGGATGGGCGTTGATGTTAGGGGTTAGGAGATGGGCTTTGTCCTCTATGGAAGAGGCTTGGATGTTAGGGTTAGGAGCTAGGGCTTTATTCTCTATGGAAGAGGCTTGCATTTAGGTTAGGGGATAGGATGTTAGGTGTTAGGGGATCGTGATGTTTAGGGTTAGGAGATCGGGCCTTAGTCTCTATGGAAGAGGCCGAGGGATGTTGGGGTTAGGGGATATGATGTTAGGGGATAGGGATTTAGGGGTAGGAGAGAGTGCTTTAGTCCTCTATGAAGAGGCTGGATTTTCGGGGTTAGGATGGGAATGTTAGGGGTTAGGGGATAGGATGTTAAGGGGTTAGGAGATAGGGCTTTAGTCCGCTATGAAGAGGCTGTGAATGTTAGGGTTAGGGGATAGGATGTGAGGGGTTAGGGGATAGGTATGTTAGGGGTTGGAGAAGGGGCTTTTAGTCTCCTATGAAGAGGCTGGATGTTAGTGGTTAGGGTATAGGGATGTTAGGGGTTAGTTGATAGGGATTTAGGGTTAGGAGATAGGGCTTTAGGTCTCTAGGAAAGGCGCATTTATGGGTTTAGGGATAGGATGTTAGGGGTTAGGAGATATGTCTTTTAGTCTCTATAAGAAGGCTGGCTGTTTGTGGTTAGGGGATAGGATGTTCTATGGGTTAGTAACTTTGCAGTGACTTGTTGTTTTGTCACAGTGACTGTTTTCACAAAGTGTTGAGTGTGCTGTTCGTGCTTGGAGATCGGGGCTTTATCTCTTGGAGAGGCTGGATGTTAGGATAGGGATGTTAGGGGTGAGGATAGGATGTTAGGGTTAGGAGATAGTGCTTTATTCTCTATTGGAAGAGGCTGATGTTAGGGTAGTGGATAGTGATTTAGGGGTTGGAGATAGGGCCTTAGTCTCTATGAAGAGCTGGATGTTAGGGGTTAGGGTGATAGGGATGTTAGGGGGGTTGGGGAAGGATGTTTGGGGTTGTTAGGGGATAGTGGATTTTAGGGGTTAGGAATAGGGCTTTAGTCTCTATGGAAGAGGCTGGATGTTAGGGATAGGGATGTAGGGGATGGGGATGTGGTGTTAGAGATAGGCTTTAGTCTCTATGGAAGAGGCTGGATGTTAGGGGTTAGGGGATAGGGATGTTAGGGGTTAGGGGATAGGGATGTTAGGGGTTAGGAGATAGGGCTTTAGTCTCTATGGAAGAGGCTGGATGTTAGGGGTTAGGGGATAGGGATGTTAGGGGATAGGGAGTTTAGGGGTGTTAGGAGATAGGCTTTTAGTCTCTATGGAAGAGGCTGGATGTTAGGGGTTTAGGGGATAGGATGTTAGGGGTTAGGGGATAGGGATGTTAGGGGTTAGGAGATAGGGCTTAGTCTCTATGGAAGAGGCTGGATGTTAGGGGTTAGGGGATAGGGATGTTAGGGGTTAGGGGATAGGGATGTTAGGGGTTAGGAGATAGGGCTTTAGTCTCTATGGAAGAGGCTGGATGTTAGGGGTTAGGGATAGGGATGTTAGGGGGTAAGGGATAGGGATGTTAGGGGTTAGGGGATAGGGATGTTAGGGGTTAGGAGATAGGGCTTTAGTCTCTATGGAAGAGGCTGGATGTTAGGGGATAGGGATGTTAGGGGATAGGGATGTTAGGGGTTAGGAGATAGGGCTTTAGTCTCTATGGAAGAGGCTACTAAGATGCTGTAAGGACGTGTGTAAAGGACGGACCCCTGGGTCTGTCTAGTAAGAGCTAGAGATATCAATGGAGAGGGCTCTGTCTATGTGTCTTCTCTCCTCTACCATGGCTGTAGACAACTCTGATCAGTTACACAGCCTGGCTCTCTGCAGACAGACATCAGATATACAGAGAGCTGCTGGCTCTGGGCTCTGGGCAGGCAGCCAGGCAGGGAAAGGCATGGTTAGCAATTAGCATAACAGTCAAGGACATGGTTAGCATGGTAGCAGGGTTAGCATTATCACAGCTTTGAAGAACATGGTTAGCATGATAAGCAATTAGCATGGTTAGCAATAGCATGGTTATTAATAGCATAATAGCATGGTTAGCAATAGCATAGTTAGTAACAGCATGGTTAGCAATAGCATGGTTAGCACAGTAGTGAAGGGCATGGCTAGCATGGTTAGCGTTAGCAGTGCTGATCTCATGAAGGATTAGTGTTGGGGGACAGACAGACCCAGTGAGTAACTCTCCCAGAGGACAGACAGACCCAGTGAGTAACTCTCCCAGAGGACAGACAGACCCAGTGAGTAACTCTCCCAGAGGACAGACAGACCCAGTGAGTAACTCTCCCAGAGGACAGACTGACCCAGTGAGTAACTCTCCCAGAGGACAGACAGACCCAGTGAGTAACTCTCCCAGAGGACAGACAGACCCAGTGAGTAACTCTCCCAGAGGACAGACAGACCCAGTGAGTAACTCTCCCAGAGGACAGACAGACCCAGTGAGTAACTCTCCCAGAGGACAGACAGACCCAGTGAGTAACTCTCCCAGAGGACAGACAGACCCAGTGAGTAACTCTCCCAGAGGACAGACAGACCCAGTGAGTAACTCTCCCAGAGGACAGACAGACCCAGTGAGTAACTCTCCCAGAGGACAGACAGACCCAGTGAGTAACTCTCCCAGAGGACAGACAGACCCAGTGAGTAACTCTCCCAGAGGACAGACAGACCCAGTGAGTAACTCTCCCAGAGGACAGACAGACCCAGTGAGTAACTCTCCCAGAGGACAGACAGACCCCAGTGAGTAACTCTCCCAGAGGACAGACAGACCCAGTGAGTAACTCTCCCAGAGGACAGACAGACCCAGTGAGTAACTCTCCCAGAGGACAGACAGACCCAGTGAGTAACTCTCCCAGAGATAGGAGAGAAGACTAAGGGCATGCAGTCCAGCACGACGCAGAGATCACTAGTCATGCTCTCAAAGCACACGCACGCACACGCACTGTCCACCAGACTGTTAAAATCAACCAACCAACCCGGCCAAAAAGCTTGTGTTTCATTGACCTCTGCGTTGAAGAGCTTGGTTGTTTAGCAACAAAACCGAGGCATGTGGAACTACGGGGCAAAACAGACAGGGTTGTCTTAGGTTGTTGAAACGTGGAAACTCTATTTCACCTCCAATGTTTATTAAAACGTGGAAACTCTATTTCACCTCCAATGTTTATTAAAACGTGGAAACTCTATTTCACCTCCAATGTTTATTAAAACGTGGAAACTCTATTTCACCTCCAATGTTTATTAAAACGTGGAAACTCTATTTCCCCTCCAATGTTTATTAAAACGTGGAAACTCTATTTCACCTCCAATGTTTATTAAAACGTGGAAACTCTATTTCACCTCCAATGTTTATTAAAACGTGGAAACTCTATTTCACCTCCAATGTTTATTAAAACGTGGGAAACTCTATTTCACCTCCAATGTTTATTAAAACGTGGAAACTCTATTTCACCTCCAATGTTTATTAAAACGTGGAAACTCTATTTCACCTCCAATGTTTATTAAAACGTGGAAACTCTATTTCACCTCCAATGTTTATTAAAACGTGGAAACTCTATTTCCCTATGGAGGACTAAAAGTGCCACAATTAAATAAATAAATACACCATTAAATAATTACTTAAATGTGTCATTAATTAATTAAAATTAGAATTAAATACATAAATGTGTAATTAAATGTATCATTAATTAATTCAAATACCGATTCATTTTATGTAAAATACATATATAATTATTTCACTATTTACATTTACATTTCATGATCCTGCATTGCAGTGATTCATGAATTACTTAAAACTGTCAAACTGACCCATCAAAGTCAGTGGGCGGGGCTAACGCGAATCTAGTCTGATCCATTGCTTTGGTCTGAAGTAGAGTAGGCCAACCTGGATAGAGACAATGGAGGATCTCCGTGAACTTTCCAGGGAGTTGGTTAGAGACATTTTAAACTTAGCAGAGGATGTAGAAGCAGGACCTGCTGACATTATCCGGAATTGATTTGTCTTGGCTTGATGCAGAGGGTAACCAATCAGGCGTTAGGTTCCGCCTACCAACTTTTGATGGGTCAGTTTGACAGTTTTAAGTAATTCAGGAAGCACTCCAACGCAGGACCATGAAATGTAAATGTAAATAGTGAAATTATTATATATGTATTTTACATAAAATGAATCGGTATTTGAATTAATTAATGACACATTTAATAACACATTTATGTATTTAATTCTAATTTTAATTAATTAATGACACATTTAAGTAATTATTTAATGGTGTATTTATTTATTTAATTGTGGCACTTTTAGTCCTCCATATTTCCCCTCCAATGTTTATTAAAACGTGGAAATCCAATGTTTATTAAAACGTGGAAACTCTATTTCACCTCCAATGTTTATTGAAAACATAAATATATTTGCACAATGCAGCACTTGTCTCAAATACATTGTTCCAGTTGTTGGTTGGCTAGCTAGCGAATTTTAGCCGTATTAGCATTGACATGAACTCCATAAAACACCATAAAACAAGACATGGTATCAAGAACAAGATGAAACTAGCTGAAACGAGCCACTTACGATTCCCCACTTGGCAGCTTCTTGTCATTGTTGGTAGCTATCTGGCCTTCCAGAATCACAACAACACACAGACTTCTGCCCCATTGAAGCTCATCGTTTTAGTGAAGTTCTCAGCACACCCACACGAGCACTGTCAACCAGACTGTTCAAACCAACCAACCAACCCGGCCAAAAAGCTCTCCAACATGACTTTCTCTCTGTTTTTTCAGGAGATCGTGGACAAAGATGGAAACAGCAAGCTCCTGTTGTTCACCATCCCCTCCCTGTCCAAGCCCTCTGTGTATCACGAGGTAAGACTGGTAGCCTGTTGTTCACCGTCCCCTCCCTGTCCAAGCCCTCTGTGTATCACGAGGTAAGACTGGTAGCCTGTTGTTCACCGTCCCCTCCCTGTCCAAGCCCTCTGTGTATCACGAGGTAAGACTGGTAGCCTGTTGTTCACCGTCCCCTCCCTGTCCAAGCCCTCTGTGTATCACGAGGTAAGACTGGTAGCCTGTTGTTCACCGTCCCCTCCCTGTCCAAGCCCTCTGTGTATCACGAGGTAAGACTGGTAGCCTGTTGTCACCGTCCCCTCCCTGTCCAAGCCCTCTGTGTATCACGAGGTAAGACTGGTAGCCTGTTGTTCACCGTCCCCTCCCTGTCCAAGCCCTCTGTGTATCACGAGGTAAGACTGGTAGCCTGTTGTTCACCGTCCCCTCCCTGTCCAAGCCCTCTGTGTATCACGAGGTAAGACTGGTAGCCTGTTGTTCACCGTCCCCTCCCTGTCCAAGCCCTCTGTGTATCACGAGGTAAGACTGGTAGCCTGTTGTTCACCGTCCCCTCCCTGTCCAAGCCCTCTGTGTATCACGAGGTAAGACTGGTAGCCTGTTGTTCACCGTCCCCTCCCTGTCCAAGCCCTCTGTGTATCACGAGGTAAGACTGGTAGCCTGTTGTTCACCGTCCCCTCCCTGTCCAAGCCCTCTGTGTATCACGAGGTAAGACTGGTAGCCTGTTGTTCACCGTCCCCTCCCTGTCCAAGCCCTCTGTGTATCACGAGGTAAGACTGGTAGCCTGTTGTTCACCATCCCCTCCCTGTCCAAGCCCTCTGTGTATCACGAGGTAGACTGGTAGCCTGTTGTTCACCGTCCCCTCCCTGTCCAAGCCCTCTGTGTATCACGAGGTAAGACTGGTAGCCTGTTGTTCACCGTCCCCTCCCTGTCCAAGCCCTCTGTGTATCACGAGGTAAGACTGGTAGCCTGTTGTTCACCGTCCCCTCCCTGTCCAAGCCCTCTGTGTATCACGAGGTAAGACTGGTAGCCTGTTGTTCACCGTCCCCTCCCTGTCCAAGCCCTCTGTGTATCACGAGGTAAGACTGGTAGCCTGTTGTTCACCGTCCCCCTCCCTGTCCAAGCCCTCTGTGTATCACGAGGTAAGACTGGTAGCCTGTTGTTCACCGTCCCCTCCCTGTCCAAGCCCTCTGTGTATCACGAGGTAAGACTGGTAGCCTGTTGTTCACCGTCCCCTCCTTCCAAGCCCTCTGTGTATCACGAGGTAAGACTGGTAGCCTGTTGTTCACCATCCCCTCCCTGTCCAAGCCCTCTGTGTATCACGAGGTAAGACTGGTAGCCTGTTGTTCACCGTCCCCTCCCTGTCCAAGCCCTCTGTGTATCACGAGGTAAGACTGGTAGCCTGTTGTTCACCGTCCCCTCCCTGTCCAAGCCCTCTGTGTATCACGAGGTAAGACTGGTAGCCTGTTGTTCACCGTCCCCTCCCTGTCCAAGCCCTCTGTGTATCACGAGGTAAGACTGGTAGCCTAGCAGTTAGACCGGTGGGCCAGTAACCGAACGGTCGCTGGTTTGAATACCCGAGCCGACAAGGTGAAAAATCTGTCAATGTGCCTTTGGGCAAGGTACTTAACCCTAATTTGCTCCAGGGGCACCGTAGTACTATGGCTGACCCTGTAGAACAACACATTACACTGCACCTATCATACTACTATGGCTGACCCTGTAGAACAACACATTACACTGGACCTATCATACTACTATGGCTGACCCTGTAGAACAACACATTACACTGGACCTATCATACTACTATGGCTGACCCTGTAAAACAACACATTACACTATGTAGGTCCAGCTGTTTATCATCTAACCTGGCCGTAAGGCAGCTTATTATCTGACCACCTGGACTCATCTAACCTGGCCGTAAGGCAGCTTATTATCTGACCACCTGGACTCATCTAACCTGGCCGTAAGGCAGCTTATTATCTGACCACCTGGACTCATCTAACCTGGCCGTAAGGCAGCTTATTATCTGACCACCTGGACTCATCTAACCTGGCCGTAAGGCAGCTTATTATCTGACCACCTGGACTCATCTAACCTGGCCGTAAGGCAGCTTATTATCTGACCACCTGGACTCATCTAACCTGGCCGTAAGGCAGCTTATTATCTGACCACCTGGACTCATCTAACCTGGCCGTAAGGCAGCTTATTATCTGACCACCTGGACTCATCTAACCTGGCCGTAAGGCAGCTTATTATCTGACCACCTGGAGGATGAAGAATGGAGGCTCAGCTCTGTGCTGCTGTTCTCATCGTTCACCTCTAGGGGGCAACGGTGGTTTATATAATTTTCCTATTTTTAGTTCTACGCTGCTCTGCAGTTGGTCAACCCTTTAGAGACAGACCACCTGACAGATACGAGAATCAATGAACTGAGCTCATTAGCTGGAACACAAATTGTTTAGCTACTATTCTACCAGGCCAAATGGAAGTGTGTGTGTGCTGGTGTTATGTTAGCCCTCAGCTGTTACTGTGAGGCTAATGGCACCCTACTCCCTCTGTAGGGCACTATGGGCCCTGCTGAAAAGTAGTGCACTATAGGGGAGGGGTTCCCTAACGTTTTTACTCAGGCCCCCTGTCCAGCGTTGGGGAACATCCCACTCCTCCCTAACGTTTTTACTCAGGCCCCCTGTCCAGCGTTGGGGAACATCCCACTCCTCCCTGCGCGTTTTTACTCAGGCCCCCTGTCCAGCGTTGGGGAACATCCCACTCCTCCCTAACGTTTTTACTCAGGCCCCTGTCCAGCGTTGGGGAACATCCCACTCCTCCCTAACGTTTTTACTCAGGCCCCCTGTCCAGCGTTGGGGAACATCCCACTCCTCCCTAACGTTTTTTACTCAGGCCCCCTGTCCAGCGTTGGGGAACATCCCACTCCTCCCTAACGTTTTTTACTCAGGCCCCCTGTCCAGCGTTGGGGAACATCCCACTCCTCCCTGCGTGTTTTTACTCAGGCCCCCTGTCCAGCGTTGGGGAACATCCCACTCCTCCCTAACGTTTTTACTCAGGCCCCCTGTCCAGCGTTGGGGAACATCCCACTCCTCCCTAACGTTTTTACTCAGGCCCCCTGTCCAGCGTTGGGGAACATCCCACTCCTCCCTGCGTGTTTTTACTCAGGCCCCCCTGTCCAGCGTTGGGGAACATCCCACTCCTCCCTGCGTGTTTTTACTCAGGCCCCCTGTCCAGCGTTGGGGAACATCCCACTCCTCCCTAACGTTTTTTACCCCAGGCCCCCTGTCCAGCGTTGGGGAACATCCCCTCCCCTGCGCGTTTTTTACTCAGGCCCCCTGTCCAGCGTTGGGGAAACATCCCACTCCTCCCTAACGTTTTTACTCAGGCCCCCTGTCCAGCGTTGGGGAACATCCCACCTCCTGCGTGTTTTTACTAGGCCCCTGTCCAGCGTGGGGAACATCCCCTTCCTCCCGCGTGTTTTTATCGGCCCCCTGTCCAGCTTTGGGGGAAAACACCCCACTCCCCCCTAACGTTTTACTCAGGCCCCCTGTCCAGCGTTGGGGAACATCCCACTCCTCCCTGCCCCCTGCCCCAGCGTTGGGGAACACCCACTCCTCCCTGCGCGTTTTTACTCAGGCCCCTGTCCAGCGTTGGGGAACATCCCACTCCTCCCTAACGTTTTTACTCAGGCCCCCGTCCAGCTTTGGGGGAAACATCCCACTCCTCCCAAACGTTTTTACTCAGGCCCCCGTCCAGCGGTTGGGGAACATCCCACTCCTCCCTAACGTTTTTACTCAGGCCCCCTGTCCAGCGTTGGGGAACATCCCACTCCTCCCTGCGTGTTTTTACTCAGGCCCCTGTCCAGCGTTGGGGAACATCCCACTCCTCCCTGCGTGTTTTTACTCAGGCCCCCTGTCCAGCGTTGGGGAACATCCCACTCCTCCCTAACGTTTTTTACTCAGGCCCCCATGTCCAGCGTTGGGGAACATCCCACTCCTCCCTACGTTTTTTACTCAGGCCCCCTGTCCAGCGTTGGGGAACATCCCACTCCTCCCTACGTTTTTACTCAGGCCCCCTGTCCAGCGTTGGGGAACATCCCACTCCTCCCTAACGTTTTTTACTCAGGCCCCCTGTCCAGCGTTGGGGAACATCCCACTCCTCCCTGCGTGTTTTACTCAGGCCCCCTGTCCAGCGTTGGGGAACATCCCACTCCTCCCTAACGTTTTTACTCAGGCCCCCTGTCCAGCGTTGGGGAACATCCCACTCCTCCCCTAACGTTTTTACTCAGGCCCCCTGTCCAGCGTTGGGGAACATCCCACTCCTCCCTAACGTTTTTTACTCAGGGCCCCCTGTTCCAGCGTTGGGGAACATCCCCTCCTCCCTAACGTTTTACTCAGGCCCCCTGTCCAGCGTTGGGGAACATCCCACTCCTCCCTAACGTTTTACTCAGGCCCCCTGTCCAGCGTTGGGGAAATCACCCACTCCTCCCTAACGTTTTTACTCAGGCCCCCTGTCCAGCGTTGGGGAACATCCCACTCCTCCCTGCGTGTTTTTACTCAGGCCCCCTGTCCAGCGTTGGGGAACATCCCACTCCTCCCTGCGTGTTTTTACTCAGGCCCCCTGTCCAGCGTTGGGGAACATCCCACTCCTCCCTGCGTGTTTTTTACTCAGGCCCCCTGTCCAGCGTTGGGGAACATCCCACTCCTCCCTAACGTTTTACTCAGGCCCCCTGTCCAGCGTTGGGGACCATCCCACTCCTCCCTGCGTGTTTTACTCAGCCCCCTGTCCAGCTTGGGGAACACTCCCCTATCCCTACGTGTTTTTACTCAGGCCCCTTCCACTTGGGACATCCCACTCCTCCCTGCGTGTTTTTACTCAGGCCCCCTGTCCAGCGTTGGGGAACATCCCACTCCTCTCCTGCGTGTTTTTACTCAGGCCCCCTGTCCAGCGTTGGGGAACATCCCACTCCTCCCTGCGTGTTTTACTCAGGCCCCTGTCCAGCGTGGGGAACATCCCACTCCTCCCTGCGCGTTTTTACTCAGGCCCCCTGTCCAGCGTTGGGGAACATCCCACTCCTCCCTGCTGTTTTACTCAGGCCCCCTGTCCAGCGTTGGGGAAATCCCACTCCTCCCTAACGTTTTACTCAGGCCCCTGTCCAGCGTTGGGAACATCCCTCCTCCCTGCGTGTTTTTACTCAGGCCCCTGTCCAGCGTTGGGAACATCCACTCTCCCTGCGCGTTTTACTCAGGCCCCCTGTCCAGCGTGGGGAACATCCCACTCCTCCCTAACGTTTTTACTCAGCCCCCTGTCCAGCGTTGGGGAACATCCCACTCCTCCCTGCGTGTTTTTACTCAGGCCCCCTGTCCAGCGTTGGGGAACATCCCACTCCTCCCTGCGTGGTTTTTACTCAGGCCCCCTGTCCAGCGTTGGGGAACATCCCACTCCTCCCTAACGTTTTTAACTCAGGCCCCCTGTCCAGCGTTGGGGACATCCCACTCCTCCCTGCGTGTTTTTACTCCAGGCCCCCTGTCCAGCGTTGGGGAACATCCCACTCCTCCCTAACGTTTTTACTCATGCCCCCTGTCCAGCGTTGGGAACATCCCACTCCTCCCTAACGTTTTTACTCAGGCCCCCGTCCAGCGTTGGGGAACATCCCACTCCTCCCTAACGTTTTTACTCAGGCCCCCTGTCCAGCGTTGGGGAACATCCCACTCCTCCCTAACGTTTTTACTCAGGCCCCCTGTCCAGCGTTGGGGAACATCCCACTCCTCCCTAACGTTTTTACTCAGGCCCCCTGTCCAGCGTTGGGGAACATCCCACTCCTCCCTGCGTGTTTTACTCAGTTCCCCTGTCCAGCGTTGGGGAACATCCCACTCCTCCCTAACGTTTTTACTCAGGCCCCCTGTCCAGCGTTGGGGAACATCCCACTCCTCCCTAACGTTTTTACTCAGGCCCCCTGTCCAGCGTTGGGGAACATCCCACTCCTCCCTAACGTTTTTACTCAGGCCCCCTGTCCAGCGTTGGGGAACATCCCACTCCTCCCTGCGTGTTTTACTCAGGCCCCCTGTCCAGCGTTGGGGAACATCCCACTCCTCCCTAACGTTTTTTACTCAGGGCCCCCTGTCCAGCGTTGGGGAACATCCCACTCCTCCCTAACGTTTTATCAGGCCCCCTGTCCAGCGTTGGGGAACATCCCACTCCTCCCTAACGTTTTTACTCAGGCCCCCTGTCCAGCGTTGGGGAACATCCCACTCCTCCCTGCGCGTTTTTACTCAGGCCCCCTGTCCAGCGTTGGGGAACATCCCACTCCTCCCTGCGTGTTTTTACTCAGGCCCCTGTCCAGCGTTGGGGAACATCCCACTCCTCCCTAAACGTTTTTACTCAGGCCCCCTGTCCAGCGTGGGAACATCCCACCTCCTCCCTGCGTGTTTTTACTCAGGCCCCCCTGTCCAGCGTTGGGGAACATCCCACTCCTCCCCTGCCCCCTGTCCAGCGTTGGGGAAAACATCCCCCACTCCTCCCTGCGTGTTTTTACTCAGGCCCCCTGTCCAGCGTTGGGGAACATCCCACTCCTCCCTAACGTTTTTACTCAGGCCCCCTGTCCAGCGTTGGGGAACATCACACTCCTCCCTGCGCGTTTTTTCTATGGATACAAGCACTGTTCATGACTCTATGGTTGGCGGATAAAACATTTAGCAGCTTTAAAGCTTATTTTCTTGCAATTCTACACATTTTGCCATGTCTAATGTGTATTCATGTGATATTTGATTGACAAAAAAATTATATCTATGGGTTAAAAAACATAGCAAAAATGTTTTTGCTGACATGGGCTTGTTGATCTGGACATTTCTGACCAGTTATAAATATCTCTCTAAGGTCTGTAATGACTAACATGACAAGATGAACTGCTGATGCACGACCCAATATAGAAATGGCATATAGACATTTCACCTTGTGCGTTCTACTATTACAACTTTGAAGAGTAAGTTGAAAGCTGGACTGAGTTCCTTAAAAAAAAAACCTGCCGACCCCTACGCGCCCCCCTGCCGACCCCTAGGCGCCCCCCTGCCGACCCCTACGCGCCCCCCTGCCAACCCCTAGGCGCCCCCCCCCTGCCGACCCTACGCGCCCCCCTGCCGACCCCTAGGCGCCCCCCCCTGCCGACCCCTAGGCGCCCCCCTGCCGACCCCTAGGCGCCCCCCCCCTGCCGACCCCTACGCGCCCCCCCTGCCGACCCCTAGGCGCCCCCCCTGCCGACCCCTAGGCGCCCCCCCTGCCGACCCCTAGGCGCCCCCCTGGCTACAGCAAGCAGCGCTCTACGTGACATCAGTCTTATCTCACAGCACGCTGGACTTGCATACCCTCCATACACCACTAGTCTCATCCAGAATGAATTCCCTCACTGCTTTCTCCCCCTGATATGACTGAGAGCCCTCCTCTGCTCACTGCCACAATGACTGAGTGTCTCTGGCTCTTCTTCTCCTCAGAGCAGAACTCTACTCTACTCTACAGTGTGCCAGTTCAGCCCAGGCAAATGTTCCTATTTAAAGGCTTCCTATCCTTACTACAGTATTGTGTTGTAGAGTCACATTTGACTACATGGCTCAACTGCTGCCTATTTCTATGTACACTGAAGCGTGCTCTCCTAGTACACGGAATCAGAATGACCGAGACACAGGACACAGGCACACGAAGCTCTGACATAAGGAAGGAGGAAACCAAACATTGACTTCTACCTCATGAGTAGAACGTTTATGTGCACAATAAACATTGCGCCCACTCAGAGGGTAAGAAATGGTCAATGAAAATGTATCGTATCAAACATGAAACGCTAGCAATTACTGTAGGATTAGATGGAATATAGATATACCAGATATGAATTTAAAGGTGTGAAAGAAACAGCAAACATTTGAACAGGAGAACAAAGCGCCCCCTACTGGTGGGAGTTTGCGGAGTGGTGCGTCTTCACCTCAGGAATTATTCATTTTAACAACAAATTCCAAATGCAAGCTTATTCCACGTCTTGTTGTTCCAGCCTGAATTCCAAATGCAAGCTTATTCCACGTCTTGTTGTCCCAGCCTGAATTCAAAATGCAAGCTTATTCCACGTCTTGTTGTTCCAGCCTGAATTCCAAATGCAAGCTTATTCCACGTCTTGTTGTCCCAGCCTGAATTCAAAATGCAAGCTTATTCCACGTCTTGTTGTTCCAGCCTGAATTCAAAATGCAAGCTTATTCCACATCTTGTTGTCCCAGCCTGAATTCAAAATGCAAGCTTATTCCACGTCTTGTTGTTCCAGCCTGAATTCAAAATGCAAGCTTATTCCACGTCTTGTTGTTCCAGCCTGAATTCAAAATGCAAGCTTATTCCACATCTTGTTGTCCCAGCCTGAATTCAAAATGCATGCTTATTCCACGTCTTGTTGTTCCAGCCTGAATTCCAAATGGATTAAATAGATTGGTCTTTTTCACTCATCTACCCAGAATACCCCATAATGGAAAAGTTTAAATATGTTTTTAGAATCTTTGGCACATTTCTTGAAAATTAGAAGCATAAATATTTAATTGGCGTAAGTATTCACACCCCTGAGTCAATACATGTTAGAACCACCTTTGGCAGCGATTACAGCCGTGAGTCTCTAAGACCGTTGCACACCTGGATTGTACAATATTTGCACAATCATTTTTAAATTCTTCAAGCTCTGTGAAGTTGGTTGTTGATCATTGCTAGACACATTTTCAAGTCTTGCCACATATTTTCAAGACGATTTCAGTCAAAACTGTAACTAGTTCACTCCGGAACGTTCATTGTCATCTTGGTAAGCAACTCCAGTGTATATTTGGCCTTGTGTTTTAGGTTATTGTCCTGCTGAAAGGTGAATTTGTCTCCCAATTTTATATGCTTGTCAGCAACAGGTGTAGCTGAAATACATTTTTTTCTGATATAAACTTCCTTTTGATATTTTTTTTGGGGACTCTCTTGTTCCATGTAGTGAATCTGTTATTCATTGTGTTTGTATGGGCTAATAGCAGTAAGACCAAAAATATATACTGTATATCTTTTTTTTTTTCATACTTCAAGGGCTCTTAAAATTCAAAATCAAATAGTTAAATAATCCTTGGTGAATTACCTTCTTAAAACAACTCCATATAGCTTAGTAGAACCCTTCTTTGCGAGGCATTGGAAAACCTCCCTGGTCTTTGTGGTTGACTGAGGGACCTTAAGGATCATTTTATGTTTTGGGTACAGAGTTGAGGTAGTCATAAAAAAATCATGTTAAACAATATTATTGCACACAGAGTGAGTCCATGCAATTTATTATGTGACTTGTTAATAAATGTTTTACTCCTGAACTTATTTAGGCTTGCCATAACATAGGGGTTGAATACTTATTGACTAAAAACATTTCAGCTTTTCATTTTGTATTAATTAGTAAACATTTCGAAAAACATAATTCCACTTTGACATTATGGGGTGTTATGTGTAGTCCAGTGACACAAAATCTCAATTTAATCCATTTTAAATTCAGGCTGTAACACAACAAAATGTGGAAAAAGTCAAGGGGTGTGAATACTTTCTGAAGGCAATGTAAATGATACATTTCAAGCAATTTTGACATACAAAAAGACCAGTAGCATATGCTAGTAATTGTTGCTTGATGCCCCATTGCTGGTGAGCTTTCAACGTAAACAGTTCATGTTGTTGATCGCCAAACCATTTATGATGCCAGTCCCCTCTCCCTACAAGCTGATGTTGATGCCAGTCCTCTCTCCCTACAAGCTGATGTTGATGCCAGTCCTCTCTCCTTACAAGCTGATGTTGATGCCAGTCCTCTCTCCCTACAAGCTGATGTTGATGCCAGTCCTCTCTCCCTACAAGCTGATGTTGATGCCAGTCCTCTCTCCCTACAATGAGATGTTGATGCCAGTCATCTCTCCCTACAAGCTGATGTTGATGCCAGTCCCCTCTCCCTACAATGAGATGTTGATGCCAGTCCTCTCTCCCTACAATGAGATGTTGATGCCAGTCCTCTCTCCCTACAATGAGATGTTGATGCCAGTCCCCTCTCCCTACAGCGAGATGTTGATGCCAGTCCTCTCTCCCTACAATGAGATGTTGATGTCAGTCCTCTCTCCCTACAATGAGATGTTGATGCCAGTCCTCTCTCCCTACAATGAGATGTTGATGCCAGTCCTCTCTCCCTACAGCGAGATGTTGATGCCAGTCCTCTCTCCCTACAATGAGATGTTGATGCCAGTCCTCTCTCCCTACAATGAGATGTTGATGCCAGTCCTCTCTCCCTACAAGCTGATGTTGATGCCAGTCCTCTCTCCCTACAAGCTGATGTTGATGCCAGTCCTCTCTCCCTACAAGCTGATGTTGATGCCAGTCCTCTCTCCCTACAAGCTGATGTTGATGCCAGTCCTCTCTCCCTACAATGAGATGTTGATGCCAGTCATCTCTCCCTACAAGCTGATGTTGATGCCAGTCATCTCTCCCTACAAGCTGATGTTGATGCCAGTCCCCTCTCCCTACAATGAGATGTTGATGCCAGTCCTCTCTCCCTACAATGAGATGTTGATGCCAGTCCCCTCTCCCTACAGCGAGATGTTGATGCCAGTCCTCCTCTCCCTACAATGAGATGTTGATGCCAGTCCTCTCTCCCCTACAATGAGATGTTGATGCCAGTCCTCTCTCCCTACAATGAGATGTTGATGCCAGTCCTCTCTCCCTACAGCGAGATGTTGATGCCAGTCCTCTCTCCCTACAATGAGATGTTGATGCCAGTCCTCTCTCCCTACAAGCTGATGTGATGATGCCAGTCCTCTCTCCCTACAAGCTGTTGATGCCAGTCCTCTCTCCCTACAAGCTGATGTTGATGCCAGTCCTCTCTCCCTACAAGCTGATGTTGATGCCAGTCCTCTCTCCCTACAATGAGATGTTGATGCCAGTCCTCTCTCCCTACAAGCTGATGTTGATGCCAGTCCCCTCTCCCTACAATGAGATGTTGATGCCAGTCCTCTCTCCCTACAATGAGATGTTGATGCCAGTCCCCTCTCCCTACAGCGAGATTTGATGCCAGTCCTCTCTCCCTACAATGAGATGTTGATGCCAGTCCTCTCTCCCTACAATGAGATGTTGATGCAGTCCTCTCTCCCTACAATGAGATGTTTGAGGCCAGTCCTCTCTCCCTACAATGAGATGGTTGATGCCCAGTCCCTCTCCCTACAGCGAGATGTTGATGCCAGTCCTCTCTCCCTACAATGAGATGTTGATGCCAGTCCTCTCTCCCTACAATGAGATGTTGATGCCAGTCCTCTCTCCCTACAAGCTGATGTTGATGCCAGTCCTCTCTCCCTACAAGCTGATGTTGATGCCAGTCCTCTCTCCCTACAAGCTGATGTTGATGCCAGTCCTCTCTCCCTACAAGCTGATGTTGATGCCAGTCCTCTCTCCCTACAAGCTGATGTTGATGCCAGTCCTCTCTCCCTACAAGCTGATGTTGATGCCAGTCCTCTCTCCCTACAAGCTGATGTTGATGCCAGTCCTCTCTCCCTACAAGCTGATGTTTGTTCTGCACCTGATCCTAGAGCTGTGTTGATTGACAGTTTGCTGGTCCAATCAGAAGGCCAATCTGTTGCAACGGCGATGCTACGGTCTCTGGCTGTGTTGAGAGTAATCCAGAGACTCTGATGCCCAATAATGATAGTGATAAGGAAACAAAGCTTCCTGAAGCGTTGAGGCTTTCCAGACCATTGTGTTGAAAATAGGTTCATTTCACGAGGCTTTGATCAACACAGTGAACACTACTGGCACCTGCTGGTCAATAATTTATAGCAGCCAAATATAATATAAGAATAATAATAATAATAATAATATGCCATTTAGCAGATGCTTTTAGCCAAAGCGACTTACAGTCATGCGTGCATACATATTTTTTTTGTTTTTTGTATGGGTGGTCCCGGGGATCGAACCCACTACCTTGGCGTTACAAGCGCCGTGCTCTACCAGCTGAGCTACAGAGGACCATGCCAGTCCTCTCTCCCTACAAGCTGGGAGAGAGGACAAGCTGGGAGAGAGGACAAGCTGGGAGAGAGGACAAGCTGGGAGAGAGGACAAGCTGGGAGAGAGGACTGGCATGATTATAGATGACGTCCCACCCGCTGTAGCGCGCGTTCAGAGTAGCGTTTTGTCTTCTACCAAACCAACGCCAAACTAATCAGGTGGTGGTTAGACGAAATGAAGCTTCGGACGTCATTAAGCACGTGCTTCTGACAAAGTGATAC